GGGCAGACATGGCACCGGGGAGTACTCCAGTTGGGGCTGAAGGCGGTGCCAGCGGCAGCAGAGTCTTTAAGCCGCCCCTCCACACACCACCCTACACTACCCGGCGGGCTGGGGGGCGTCCCCCACGAGAGAGGGGCTGGGTGGCGCCAGGGGCGGCCTCGAGTCTGCCGCGGGCCTCAAAGCCCTGCGCCCCCCGGACCCGCCCGCACCTCCGCGGGGTACTTTCTCTCCGAGCCCTTCTCCTACCTAGCGCTGAGCCGGGGCAGGCGCCCGAGAGTCAGCCCGGGGCCCACACAGCTCGGCGAGTCCGCTCTAGACCGCGTAGCCGGGGCGGGCGGTTGCCAAGCACGGACGCCAAGGAAGCCGCTCCCACAGTGCCTCGCGCGGGCGGAAGGGGCGGCCTTCCGGGTGCGGGAGGCGGGGAGACGGAGGCGAGTGAGGGAGCTAAGGGCTGGCTGGGAAGGGACTAGAGGGGCGCCGCGAGCGGGAGCCGAGCGTGAAGGGGACGAGGCGGGGCCGGCCCTGGACTGGGCGCGAAAGGAGGGGATCTGGGAGGAGGCAGTGCGGGGGGTGTGAGGAAGTGGGGGAGGCCCGGGTGGGCATTCTCTGTGGCGTGGGAAGAAAAGTCGTCCGAGGCCATGTAAATCCTGGTACAGTCAACCGAAAAGGAGGTTTCCAGCAACATATAGGTCGCCGTAGCTACTAGGTCTCCTGTAGCTACTGCCCTGATCTAGGAGACTGGCCGGATTTCAGAGTCACCGACGCGCTTTGATCGCCGTGTAAAGTTACTCTCCTAGGAACTGCCATTGGGAAGCCTCAGCTCCTGTCTTCCCGGTTTGCTTGTCCTCCCCGTTTGCTTCTCCAGCCCTCACTGCACCGCAGCCTTAATGTAAATAGGATTCTTTTGTATTTCTTGTTTGTGAATGCCTAGAAGGGCTAGAACTGAAACTCCCAAGCAGTCTCGTTGTAAAGCTTAATAAATGCCCCATGAATGAGGAATATGAACGAAGAATGAAATTCCTCATTAAATGCTATTGGAGTTTGTTTTAAATTTTAAAGGTAAGGGACACCAAAATTAACGACTTATGAACATTAAGTACATGCTGACAGACAGTTTTGCAAGAGTTTGTTTTGGTTATGAGCTATCAGTGGTGAGTATGTCAACTGGAATAACCCACACCACTGTTAAACAGAACAGACCAAAAACAGATTAACTGCACATCACCAAACTCAGGCTTAATTATAGTTTTGGTTTTCCCAAAACTATAGAATCATAAACCAGTCAGAAACCACCTAGTTAGCACTAGTGGGGGTCACTGTCTGAAAGACTCCTGCTAATCTGAAGGAAGGTGGCCTGGCCACAACCAATAACCTGCCTTTTGTCTAGTATGACCTTGTCCTCTTCCCTTCTGCCTATAACTAAGTCTTTTTATTTTGTACAGTTCCACAGAGTTCCTTTCTGTGTGCTTGGTAAAATGCTGCCCAATTCTAAAATCAGTAAGATCTTTAAAGTTTTCTCAGCTGAATTTTGCTTTATAACAATACCTAGTTCTTGTTTTTGTTTTGCCAAATACCAGTGAGTCCCAGGGCAAGTTAGATTTAATTAAGTAGCTTCAGGGACAATGCAGGCAGGGACTTCCAGACAGTTAAAGAGGTGATAAGCTCCTAAGACATACTCCAGAAATAAGGAGGGTAAATTTTAAGTGCTGACCAAAATATATTTCAAGAGATCAGACTTAATGTGGAGATGAAGTAAAAAATCCAGGAGGCCTAAGGAGGGCTGTAATTTTTTTTTCAAAGATTTATTTATTTATGTATACAGAACTGGGGTACAGGCCAGAGGTGCAGGGGCGGTGACAGAATTCACCAGAAACAGAGTGGGGAGCAGAACAGGCAGATGAATGAAGTGCACTGCTGAGGGGAGCATCGGTGGGTCAGGAGAGGTCTGCCACGCCATGTGGGTTATCTCCGGGACAGATGGGGATCGAACTCATGCTGCAGTGGCTTCAGCTTCTTAGTGCTGTGCTTTAACCCTCTGCGCTACCAGGGAGGCCCCTTAAAACTAATTGGAACAGGAAATTTTAGGAGCCTTTGGACAGGGAAGGTAAAAAAGAAGAAACTCTAAGATAAGATCTGGGAAAATGAACACATTGCCTGAGGAGTAGAGCCACTAGGAAGAGGAGTCAATCACAAAATAGGATGATGATTTTTTTTAGGCTACAGAAAAAAAAGAGTTTAAATGCCCCTAGAAACAGGCCCACAATGGTTTCCTTGCACCACCACCCTCACCAAGTAGATGTGGTCGTTTGAAGTTTGGGGTCCTTGGGTTCACTCTGAGAAAGGTTTCACCAGAGCTCCCCTTTCAATGGCACACGGTGAGTTTCTCCATGAGACAGAGACTCAGTTATATTTAAACAGTAAGTTTATTAGAAAGAGACAGGAGAGGGCCCTCCCTGATGGTACTGCAGATTAAAGCACAGCACTAAGATCACCACCCTGCAGGTGATCCACATGGCATGGAAGACCTCTCCTGACCCATCCACTGCTTCCCTCAGCAGTGTACTTTCTCAGTCGGCCTGTTCTGCTCCCCACTCTGTCTCTGGTGAATCCTGTCACCGCCCCTGCAACTCTGGCCTGTACCCCAGTTCTGTATGCATAAATAAATAAATCTTTGAAAAAGAGAGAGAGACAGGAGAGGAAAAGACACTTGCATAGGCACAAACAGGCCAGAAGAACTGCCCCGCAAGGGGCAGTTTTCCA